TGTAATTTGATGCCTGAGACACAGGCCAAGTTACTCATCTTTGTACACGAACAATGATAGTTCTCACTGGAAAATATCAGACCTTTAAGGCAGATGAAAGGTAAAGTGACTAAAATGAACTCAGAAGTACAATAAGTCGGTACTAAAAATGAGCCATGTCACTGATGTGAAAAAGAAAAGGAAAATTAATCAGTGTGAAAGTTCAAAATCAATTTATTCCACTTTTTCTCACCAGCAGCACTTTATAAAGGGATGAAATTAATATTGAGCAGTATTAAGTTCAGGTTTAGAACTCCGAAAGAGTTTCTCATGTAGCCCCTTAGTAAAATTTGTTGCTCTGCCCTTCTTTATATTATTTTTGCTTATGTATGGTGTACAGTGGTGTATTATATTATTTTGGAGAAGCACTGGTTGTTCTGCTTCATTGCCATGTGATGGTATCATGACTGATTGTTACACCAAATCTGTCCATTCGTTGGAGTTTTAATGCACTGCTTTGTAAAAATGTATTGTTTATTTACAAAAACATCTTTCTGTTGCTGAATGTTGAGCTAGTAAAAATGAATAAGCTTTGATAGATAAGAAGATGAGGTGTCCTCCGAGTCACTAATGTTGGGAACTTTGCGCTGAAAACACTTAATATCCAGCAGAGTGAAGCTGACCCCCCACCCACTTGAAACGTAAAGGCAAATAGGCGGAGCGGTTAGTGCTACGTTTGTGCAGATTTGTGCAGGTAAAATTAGCGTTTGTGCTGCTATGATTTGAGATATCCTGTTATGGTTTACTGCTGAAAAATGTCTTTTTCAAATGACCTTTCACTTTGTGTTCACTTGTTCAATAAAGTTCTCCTAAAAAAACCCTCTTGTTGTATTTAATCAGCTAAATTTGTAATGAGTGTATTTTTTTTAACTTCAATTTCTTTACTTCAATCACTTTTTGTTCATAAAACCACGATGCAAATGCTTGAGTGGAGTGGATTAAAAAAACTTTATTGAAAACTACATTTGAACATTTTACACTCCCATGAACACTTTGAGAAACGAACAAGCTAGCAGTCTTTTGCATCAAATACACATTTTCTGGCAGAAAAAACTATTATTTGGCATTACTGTGTCTGAAGGATTCTTAGAACAGCGTTCATCTGATTTCTGAACAAGGTAAGCTTACGTTTAAAATACTGAGGTTTTAGTTACTGAGTTAATACATGATATAGCTAACTGTCTGGATCAAAAGGATTTTTTTTCAATGTTAAACATTTTCAAAAATGTCCAAGAAAAAAGTTTCTAAAGCACTTTAAAACATGTAGCACACTGGACTAAAGTGCTGTACAGTACATGGGTTAAATACTCAGACTCAATTTAATAAACTCACAAATTCAATAGCTCCATCTTAAAAACAATAATTCCACAAAATATGAAAGTGTAGATTGGTGGAGAACTTGGGGGAGGGGTTGCTCCTGGCTGTATATATAGTTCAGAAATCACATTTTGCTCCATCATAATCAGTGTGTTTTTTTCTTTTTTTTTTTAGATGCCTCGAAAGCCATCTGTAGACAAGGTTTCCATTTTTGCAGTTCTTTGCAATTCAAAAGAGGCCATAGTCCAAAATGGCAAAATAGCCACTCCAGCTGCATCAGCCTGGAAAGAGCTGAGTCAGCAGCTAGAAGACAAGATGTCAGCAAAGGCCCTGTACACTTTTGTGAAGCTAAATAGACACAACATCTGGTCAGCTTTGGAAATCAGTGATCAGGAAAGTAATAGTGAAGGAGAGTTAGATTCACATTGCATTTCTCCTGGACAAGAAAACTGTCAAGCTTTTGAACTAGAAGTCCCTTTTGAGGACTGGGTTAAATTTATTCCTGAAAAGGTTGAATACAATGACAAGTTTTCTCCTACCCAAAAAAGGGAATACACAATTTTGAAACCTGGCACTTGGACTCATATCATCAACGATCTTATATGGAAGAAGATCAAAAATACACTCAACAAAAATATAAACGCAACACCTTTGTTACTGCTCCCATTCCCCATGGGATGGACGTAGAGACCTAAAATTCATTCCAGATACACAATATAACCATCCCTCCCAAACAGTGGTCACAAATCAGTCCAAATGTGTGGTAGTGGGCACATCTGCTTTATTGAGATAATCCATCCCACCTCACAGGTGTGCCACATCAGGATGCTGATCTGACATCATGAGTAGTGCACAGGTGTACCTCAGACTGCCCACAACAAAAGGCCACCCTGGAATGTGCAGTTTTTTGTGCTATTGGGGGTCTGGGGACCCAGAACCGGTCAGTATCTGGTGTGACCACCATTTGCCTCATGCAGTGCAACACATCGTCGCATGGAGTCTATCAGATTGTCAATTGTGGCCTGTGGAATGTTGGTCCACTCCACTTCAATGGCTGTGCGAGGTTGTTGGATATTCGTGGGAACTGGTACACGCTGTCGTATACGCCGGTCAAGCACATCCCGAACATGCTCAATGGGTGACATGTCCGGTGAGTATGCTGGCCATGCAAGAACTGGGACATTCTCAGCTGCCATCTGCCCTGAACAATGTGAACCATGATTCATCCGTGAAGCGCACACCTCTCCAACGTGCCAGACGCCATCGAATGTGAGCATTTGCCCACACAAGTCTGTTACGGCGACGAGCTGGAGTCAGGTCAAGACCCCGATGAGGACGACGGGCATGCAGTTGAGCGTCCCTGAGACGGTTTCTGACAGTTTGTGCAGAAATTGTTTGGTTGTGCAAACCAATTGTTCCAGCAGCTGTCTGGGTGGCTGGTCTCAGACGATCTTGGAGGTGAACCTGCTGGATGTGGAGGTCCTGGGCTGCTGTGGTTACACGAGGTCTGCGGTTGTGAGGCCGGTTGGATGTGCTGCCATATTCTCTGAAACGCCTGTGGAGACGGCTTATGGTTGAGAAATGAACATTCAATGCACGGGCGACAGATCTGGTTGACATTCCTGCTGTCAGCATGCCAATTGCACGCTCCCTCATTGCTTGTGGCATCTGTGGCATTTTGCTGTGAGACAAAACTGCACATTCCAGGGTGGCCTTTTGTTGTGGGCAGTCTGAGGTACACCTGTGCACTACTCATGATGTCAGATCAGCATCCTGATGTGGCACACCTGTGAGGTGGGATGGATTATCTCAATATAGCAGATGTGCCCACTACCACACATTTGGACTGATTTGTGACCACTGTTTGGGAGGGATGGTTATATTGTGTATCTGGAATGAATTTTAGGTCTCTACGTCCATCCCATGGGGAATGGGAGCAGTAACAAAGGTGTTGCGTTTATATTTTTGTTGAGTGTACATGTACACTTGTGTTCCGTAGAGCAAAGGTCCATCCAACTGTCAACAATAATTATCTGGACATCAGAGGCGATTGTAAGGAGTGTCATGGCCAGTTAGAAATGTCATGTGACAGACAGCCAGCAATTAATAGTCCAATGGTGCTCCAGTGTTTCATGAGAAATACAGATTTCTCTGCACACTGGCCACTCCAAGCGGTTCATGTCTGGAAACCTGCGTGAACAGATCGCTAAAGAGCTGTGTGAGGGCAGAATGGAACCAGCTGTATGGAGGTCAGATCTGATGGATGTTGGAGATCCTGAGCCAAGCCACCTTCCAAATTTGGCCACTCTGCGAAAAGCCAAACAAGAGAGAAAAGACTTGGAATTAGGAGATAAGGACCCCATTGCATTTCTGCAATTGCTAAAATATAGTGTTCCTCACAGTGGTAGCATCCGAGATATTGGACTGGACAAGTTTTTCTGTCACTACTGGAGTCAAACACAGATGCATGTTTATAAGACATTGTCAAAAAAATCTCCCCCAACTGTGTGTTTTGATGCAACCAGTTCAGTTGTGAAAAAACTGCTGAGACCAAATGGCAAATCTGGCCATATCTTCCTTTATCAAGGTATTCTGAAAGAAGACAATTGCCCCAGTGTCCCAGTGGTGCAAATGCTGTCAGAGAAACATGATGTTAATGCCATCGCAAACTGGTTGACAGAATGGATTCGTGCAGGTGCACCTGTGCCAAAGGAAGCTGTGAGTGACTTTTCTCTGGCAATTCTGGGAGCTCTGGTCAAGGCTTTCACTCCTCATCCTGATCTGAAGTCCTACCTTAATGAATGCTTTCATGTCCTTCTTGGAACCCAGTCTGCCAAACTCCCCCCTTGTTATATCAGGGTTGATGTTGCTCACTGCATCAAGATGATATGCCAGTGGGACTGCCTGAAGAAGAAAACACATCGTGTTAAAGATTTCTTTGTCAGGTCATTAGCAAAACGTCTTCGGTCTCAATGTTTGGACCATGCAAAACAGCTCCTACGTGCTATCACTGTTGTGGCCCTCAGTGAGGCAGAAGGTGATGACAGTTCTGGAGCCCCTCTTCCTTCAGAAAGGTGCAAGAAATACTTGAAAGCCCAAATTGCTCAAGACTCCATCATCATTCCAGATGAACAGACGGAGGAAAGTGAGAGAGTGGATTCAGTGGATGAGATCCAGACTGACCTACGACAGTGGGTAACAGAAATATGTGAGGAGAGCAGGTCACCTGCTGCAGCAAACGGGGATAGAGATAATATTCACTTCCTCCCTGAGATCATTCCTCATATAATAAGACTGGCAAGTTACTTGCCACTCTGGACAGGAATAATGGTCCCTCTCTTCCAAAGCACCAGCATCACAGCAAGTTCAGCCACTGTTGAAGCTGAGTTCAAAAACATAAAACATGGCCTTTTCAAACATGACAACTTGCCTCTTTGAGTCGATCGCTTCATTGCTCGTCATCTTTCATTCATCGAGGGAAATATGCGGATTTGTTCTGCAAAAGAAAAGGTCAAAGATGAGGCAACGGTGGGATCACTGAAAGTCACAGATGCCAATTCTGGATCCATGACGACTCACAATGCAGAAGACAAAATAAAAATGGATGCTCACCCGTTTGTGGGATCTGATGCTGCCACAAACATTCTTCCGGCTGATGGGGATGCAGTTGAGAACTGGAGGGGCCTAGCTGTTCCACCCAAAAAAAGGAAGAGGACTTCCTACCTCTCTTCATGTACCGAATGGCTCCATGCAGATGAAACTTTTGGGGCCAAAAGAGTGAAAGTGGGATTATTAAAAAATGGAAACCTCCATCAGCCTATTAGATTAGGGGAATCGACAATCTCTGTGCTCAATACCTGTGCATTTGATGCATTTTTTCAGTGCTTATGTTGTGCCTTCTGTGACAGCTCCACATTTCAAAATGCTGTTCTGAAAGACAGTGAAAACCCAGTCCTGCAGCTGGTGAAAGCCATTGCCACAGATGGTGTGACCCAACAAACCTACAGGAGGAGAGCAGAGCTGCTTAGGGTAATGTTTGAAGCTGTCTCGTTGAGGTCTGCTGCGATCCAAATCGATGCTCAGTGCAATATCTCCGCTGTAATTGCTAAGACAATGAGGTACATCTCAAGTGTTTATTTTACCAAACACTGCTCTTCACAGCACTGCTACCTCAGCAAAGGGATGACAAGGGAAGTGCCATTTGTTTCTCCTGCCATCTCTGTCCTCAAAGAGTCTGGTATGGCTCATCTTGGCACAGCTGTGGAAGCAGGACTTGGCCTACCTGAGTCTACCTGCCTCAGGCCACTCTCCAATCCATCTCTGTGTCCATCAGAATTCAAAACAGAAGACAGCACCACAGGAAATGAGCTCTGTGCAGGGACAGTTACTCACAGCTACAACATTGGAGATATTAAATAATTTCCCCCAGGGATCAATAAAGTATTCTGATTCTGATTCTGATTCTGATTCTGATATCGTGTGGATTGATACTGACCTTGCAAACCAAACAGAATTTCCACTGAATGAATTTCCCTCCAACCTGGTTCTCCAAGGAAAGTCGTTCACTTTGAGGGCATTAATTGCTTTCCATGGAAAGATGACCACTGATGGTTTGGGGCATTACACTGCATACTCCATGTGTGTGGGAGTGCTACAATGACCTGGGAAATGGAGTGACAGGAGCATCTGAAAAGAAAAAAATACAACCCCATGCTGTGTTATACACAGTATAATGAGTGCTGCCTGCATTTTTCTGTTTTATTTGGTTCATTACAGTTACATGTGTTCAAAGTGTTCATAGTGTGTGTTATCAGTAAGTTCAGTTTTGCACATAAAGTTAAAGTTCTAAATTAAAAATCTTTTAACGCTCTTTTCTTTGTCAGTCTGATGTATATTTGCTTTTACACACCCAGTCACCTTCACCCGTAGCCTTGAAAGTACCCGTTCCATTTTTCTGTCAATAATTTTCCTGTATTTGTTTTGTGTTTACCTGGTGGCTTAAGTCAGGGGTCAGCATCGTTTTCATTTCAAAGGGCCCCTTTTCCCCCTGCTGCTACAAAACCTGTCTAGAGCCTAAAAAAGAAAGAGCCTATAAATATCTAGAAAATGAGTTGTTGTATCGTGTAAGCTATGGAAATGTAAATAAAAATGTTTATTTTTAGATTTGATAAGACAATGAATCATCAAAGCTTTATATCGGAAAAAAGTATTTGTTAAAATGAAGCCAGCTACGTGAGTCCTTTCCATAATAATTGATAATTAGGAAAGATGGGCAACCAACTTGAAAATTACAGTAAACAGATTTGAACCTATGAAACATTAAATCACTTTTAAAAGCCTTGTACATTCAGTGAATAGTCAATGCAGATATTTCATAAAAAAAACAAACTGTTAACAGAACCCTTTCTTGTTGTATTTATAAAAAAAAAAAATGACTTACTTGGTCTTACAAGAGCCACAGTGGAGGGGCCGGAGAGCCACATGTTGCTTTAGAGCCGCAGGTTGAAGATCCCTCGCCTAGGTGCTGTGGAATATTCACTTTTCTACACGTAGGTAACAACCTATCAAAGCAAACACTTCATTTTTTCTGAGACAGCTACATTAATAATAATGAACATATATAATTCAAAACAAAATCACAGAGGCCAACTGGGTATGTAAAAAATAATAATAATTTAGGGATACGTGAATCACTTCACATGAAACTCCGTTTTGCCACAGAAAAAATAAAAACTTTAGCCTACCTTGTGTACATTTCTGCACTAGTAACAAAAGAAATATCGACCTTTCCGCTGAATAAATTGTGTTACTAAAGTGTAAACTAATAAAAGTTAATATGCAGCAAGCCTAGAAAAAGTGCAAAACTCCACAGCTGCTGAAACTCACTGCCACAGACACTGGTGTTATACAGCGTAGGCCGTAATAATTAAAATCATTATATCTCAGATACTGTAGCAGCACAAACGCTAATTTTACCTGCACAAATCAGCACAAACGTAGCACTAAAAAAGTCGACCATTTTGGTTTGTTTTGGAGCAGTCTGGGAGGATGGTGACCTTTGAATGACCTATAAAATAATGTTTAATATCTCAAAAACCGTAGCAGCACAAACGCTAATTTTACCTGCACAAATCTGCACAAACGTAGCACTAACCGCTCCGCCTATTTGCCTTTACGTTTCAAGTGGGTGGGGGGTCAGCTTCACTCTGCTTTAATATCCTGTTGTTCAAAATAACATGTATGAATATATCACCACCTGTGCTGAGACTGGATTGGTTTGAAAATAATGTAAAGGCAATATTTCCCTCTTTCTAATTTTAGGTGCAATTTTGGAAGTTAGAGTTTTAAGTTGGAAAAAACTTTTTTGACCCAAAGACAAGTCAGAATGCGTTTAAAGCTTGCCAAGACTTTGTGTAACACTGATCATGATCCTGATATTTATTTATACACAAAGATTTAACTTTAACCTCCCAGGACCTCAGGTCCACATACTTGGACATCACATTGTGGGTTGTGTAGACCAGGGGTCTGCAACCTTTAACACCCAAAGAGCCATTTGGAGCCGGTTTCCACGCAAAAGAAAACACTGGGAGCCGCAAATACTTTGTGACATGTAAAATGAAGATAACACTGTATATATTGTTTTTTACCTTTATGCTTTGTGTGGACAAGTAATGTGTGTTGCTTATGAAATCCATGAAGTGCTACAGAGAAAATTACATTTTATTTATGTAATTAACACATTTTGAACTCTTAAAGAAATATAACAAAAGCAAAGACACCCAGCTGAACTAAAATGATCCATGTAGCAAACAAAACTGTTGTGAGCCGCCACCCTTATCGCCTTTTGGCTTTTGGAGCCTTGACCTGACTTTTAAAAAATAATTGGAAATAAAGCACTATGCTGCTAAAAAAGGGAAAATAGATGTTTGCAAAATTCTGCCTAAATATTTTACCAGGTTAATGTGTGTGGCGGGGCGTGGTCTGCGAGAGTCCATGGATGGACGTTTTGTCCCTACGATTCTCTCCACAGTCATTATGACCCTTTGCAGAGCCTTTCTCTCTGCCTGTGTGGTGTTCCCGTACCAGACAGTGATGCTTGTGGTGAGGATGCTCTCTATCAGTCCTCTGTGGGCCTGGGTGAGAGGGTGATGGTTCAGGGCAGCTTTCCTGAGCAGCCTAATGAAATAACTCCCTCCCTGGCATAGCTGGACTGGCCTGGATGGTGATTTTTCGCTTTTATGGGCTGATGGGGTTTTTTTTCATTTTTTTTCCGTAACGGTATAAACACTGAAAGGTGGTGGATTGGCCAGATGAAGGGAGATGTGTAAAAATAACTCAGTTGTTTGGTGGTGGCTATTGCAGAGCTTCCACAGATTCAGTAACATTAGCACGTGGTGGAGGCCAGCAGGTGCAACACGCTGGCAGGTGGATGACGGAAAGGCAGGAGGAGCAGAGACCCGAGGCGGTGAACTGAACCTCAGGTAAGAAGTTATGACCTGCAGTCCATCTGGGTCAGATATAAACCAAGTTTAGGTGGAGTTTATTTTCGTTGTGCTGACTTTTTACAGTCATTTACATTTTCTAGATACTGCACCAGTACTGTGTGTAAAATGCCATCAAAAAGTCAATTGAGTTTTATTCTTTCTCACCTGTCTTTCTGTCTTCTTTCACTTTTTAAAGGTTGCCATGTTAGAAAAAATATTTTGCCCTGCCATGCTGTTTATTCATGTGGCAAATGAATGGTTTATGAAAATATATCTAAATCTGTCATCAGTAATGGTAAATGGCCTGTATTTATATAGCGCTTTACTAGTCCCTAAGGACCCCAAAGCGCTTTACATATCCAGTCATCCACCCATTCACACACACATTCACACACTGGTGATGGCAGCTACATTGTAGCCACAGCCACCCTGGGGCGCACTGACAGAGGCGAGGCTGCCGGACACTGGCGCCACCAGGCCCTCTGACCACCACCAGTAGGCAAAGGGTGAAGTGTCTTGCCCAAGGACACAACGACCGAGACTGTCCAAGCTGGGGCTCGAACCGGCAACCTTCCGATTACAAGGCGAACTGCCAACTCTTGAGCCACGATCGCCCCAGTAATGATCATGTCTCACCTCTCCTCTGTCTTAATTTCAGGTTTTCACCATGTGTTGTAGATAGTTTAGGAGGTTAACTCGACCAACAGTCTACTTTCGGGTACTGTTTAGAATACCAGAACAGGGAGGATGGTGTAGGTTTACGTTTATTAGACTGATACATATATACCAGCAAGACAGTGTACATTAGTGTGACAACAGCGTTTGTTTTCATTCAAAGGCTTTATGGTTTTTCCTATAATACCTGGTGGGCAGGTCTCTAGTCAAAATGTCCGGGCCTATTTTTTGTCCCAGTCCAGCCCTGGTTATTAGTGTGAGTAGGACGGAGCTCAAGAGCAGAATACGACACAAAAGGAAGGAAAGGTGGCAAAAGCAATGGGAGGAGGAGAGGAAAGGGCGATGGTTGTTCAACAACCAAAGGAAAATGGGGGAAATGAGAAGTACAGGACAAAACAGGAGAGAGGAGACGATTATCTCGACTGAGATTTGGACACACTGGCTTAAATAGCACATTATTTTTCATAGGTAAACACTGTACAGGGGAGTGTGACTGCAGTAGGGAACAGGAAACAATAGAACGTGTTTTATTGCATTGTCAGAAGTATGAAATGGAAAGGAGACAACTGATCAAAAAGCTGGACGATATGAAAGTGGAGTTGGACTTGTTTGATTTATTCCGCGTGAGCTCTATAAGTGAAAGTTATCAGGCTGTATCTTGGTTTTTAAGGCAGACCCATTTGAATATTTTATTTTATTTTTGTCATTTCGGTCCACACTCCACACCAGTTGGTGGCGGTAATGCACCATTTTGCTGTTTGCCAACCGCCAATAAACCTATACAGAAGAAGAAGAAGAAGTAACACAACCGGAAATCGTAAACAAACACGAAGTTTTTGTTTTGGTGCCATTTACGCCCTACAGCTGTAGAAATTAGTTTAACTTGTAGTCTACTAACTTTTTCTATATTGGGATGGCTTATCGGGAGTTCCAAAATCATCCACAGTCACTTTGACTTATATTCAGCCTGATAGCTAAGGCGGAGGATAGCTTCTGTAGCCATAAGCGCTAACGTTAAGAGACCTGTCGGACAGTGAATCTTTTAAAGATGTTGTCAGCACC